AGGAAAGGAAAGGAAAGGAAAGGAAAGGAAAGGAAAGGAAAGGAAAGGAAAGGAAAGGAAAGGAAAGGAAAGGAAAAAGCCAAAAGCAGTCCCTAAGCAGCAGCGTGGCACAAAGGGGCGTTTTGGCATGCTACACTCCAGGAGCTTTTTTTGGCTTTTTTTTCCCCCGGCACAAAGCAAAAGTCCAGCCCAGGTAGGGTGCAAGGCAGGGTGCAGGGTGGCCAGAAGGGCAGAGATGGGGAGAGATAGGTGCATGGGGGGAGTTGGAGGCAGTCCCTTACCTTACTGAGGGATGGCTTAAATTGCGGTGTGTACTCGCTTAATGACCTGTGATTCTTGGTTAATGATGGCAGCCAGGACTGCTGGAATTATGGTGACTAAATGATGAGGTCACATGACATCTCACTTTATGACCGCATTGCTTAGCAATAGAAATTCTGATCCCAATTGTGGTCGTAAGTCGAGGACAATTTGTAATATTATTTGAGGGATTATCTACAGGCTAGGCTGGCAAAATTTAAAATGGGAGGCAGCTGGTATAGGAAATAGTCTATCCAATTAGAAAAACAGATGCCAACAAATATTGGGAGGATGTGAGTTCACCCCTAGTAGAAGCAAAAGGGGAATAAAAAGAGCCAGTTTTAAAGTGTGCCAGGGACTAGTGCAAGCTTGACCAGGACTTGACCAGGAGTCAAGACCAGAAAAGAAAAAAAAAGGAATTACAGTATTTAAGAGTTTTCACACTGATTGTCACTACTTTATAGTCAAAAGATGTGCAATTGATGGGAGTGTCAAGCTGCAGAAGAAGTATTCCTTGTGTGTGATATTCCTTGTGTGATTCTCTCCAATAGGCAAAATTTATTCCTTCACAATGAGAAGGTTATTTGCTGCCGAGCACTTCATCTCCTGGAAGACTTCAGTAAACCAAGGTGAGAACCAGGATCGGTTTCCAGAAATGGGCCACACAGGGGTAATAATATCCAGTGCTTGGTTCTCCTTCTGTTGCCAGTTGTTCACCAAGCACTGAGCCAAACTTCCTGCCCTTTGAAAGCCAACAGGATCCATGAGGCACCTGGGGCATATCATCTGAATATGTCTCTCTGCCCCACAGAGAACATGGGTGGCTACCAACTGCAACTGGATCAGAGCATGGTCTGACCATGGCAATAGGGTAATGAAAATCTCCTCCATCTTGAGATCACACAACATCTGTTCAGACACAAACACATGATCTAAAGTGTAGCTGCCTATATGTACTGGGCCTGAGATTATCTGAAACAAGCCTATGGTTGCCATAGGCCATGAACTCCTCAGCCTTACCAGAGCCAACCCTCAGAACAGGCAGATTGAAATCCCCCAACACTAAAAACATGGAAGTTCTCCACTACCAATCCAGAGATTAACTCTAGAAGCTTGGGGAGGGAACCTGCTGAGCAACAGGGCAGTCTATACACCAGCAGGATCCCCAGCTTGTTTCTATAGCGCAAACAAAGAAATAGGCACTCACATCCTGGTATTGCACAAAAGGGCCTTTGGTCACAAATAGAGGGTCTTTTATTATCAAAACCATCCCACCTCCCCCATCCTGGTGTTGAGGATGCTGAAGGACCCAATAATTGGCTGGACAGATCTCTGACAAGACCATACTGTTGCCCTTGCCCAGTCAGGTCTCAGTAACACATGCCAGATCTGCTGCTTCATCCAGCACTAAATTGTGGATCAAGATGGTCTTATTACAAATAGATCTGGCATTAACCAGTAGCACCTTGAGCCCAGCAACATTGGCAACTTGACCACCTGGTCTCCAGGATGGGCAATCAGGGTGGAAGTGGAGATCACCACTAAATTGGAGATTTCCCTTCCCCTAGAATGGCTTCCCGACACCTCCCGCCATATCTCTCTCAGCCCAACACTACAGGGATATAACTACTAGAATCCCTATCTAAAAAAAGGTAACTAGATTCCTCACTCCCACCCTACTAAAGGAAACACAAGAAATATTCATTTCCCGCAGAAGACACAGTATCCTAAGCCAACTATCAGAAAGCTTCCTCACTTGGTCATAACATAACACCCCAACCATGCTAAAACTACCACAGATTAAAACCACCTAACCACCCACCAGGCCATAACCAAATGCCTCCTCATAGCACTGGGACATCTCAAGCCTCACCCCTGTTTGTCTTTCACCTCAATTAATTTCTCAGTTGGAAAATAGTAAAGCTCCTGATAAAGATTTAATCTTACCAGAATTCTTAAATTTACATGGTGGGCTTCTGTGTTTGCTCCCCTCTTCACAGCCATAAATAATTCCTTATGTCTCCCTAAAGATTGGCTTAACTCTATTATTATCCCAATTTACAATAAAGGTGATAAATACAACCCAGCAAATTATTGATCAATTGGCCTTTTATCTGTAATAAAAGATCTTGGACCATAAATTAATTTTGATTGATTGAAATGCCCCCTCATAGCACTAGGGCATCTCAAGCCTCACCTCCTTTTGCCTTTCACCTCAAATAGTGCCTCCCCATCTCCTGCCCTGTCTCATAGCTGAGGAAATCACCAAGCTTTGTTATACTAGTATTTTATCTCATCTATTTGATCTTACTTTTGTGCTGTATTTTTTTCAAATTTTGCTGGTCATTGACGAAAATCCCCCATCACCACCAAAAAAAAAAAAAGAGAAAGAATCATTGTAAAATTATACAGCCATATCCAAGTCAGGCAACTTCTTCAGAAGGATAGCATTAATAAACTGAAACTCAGTAAATTGAGGCCCAATAGGACAAGAAGGAAATTCTGTGATTGGTTAACTTTTTGTCTAAGCAGTATTTATTCTGCTGTGAAGCATGTTTGACATCCTGAAAAATCAGATACATAATAATAACAGATCCATTGTTATCAGTTGAACCATTAATATCTCAGAATACCTTTTCATAGCTAAAGCTGGTACTACAGTTATGACTCCACTATGTTTGGACTACTGCAGAATGGTATATATGAGGCTACCTGAAGAACATCTGGAAACTAATCTAGTATAAGTAGGGCAACTAGATTGTTCATTAGGGTTAGGAATTGTTTTTAGAGTAGTTCATATACTTCATCTAGCTAACCTTAATGACAGAAGAGGAAATTATTAAATACACAGGAATAATTTTAAATGCTTTTAACTTAATTTACTTAACATTTTGTCAAATATGCTTTTTTGCAATACAGTTGCTGATATACCAATGCAAAGTCTGGCATGGCCTTAAGCCAATAGGACTGCCCATCCCAGTTTTAGGTCTTTGCTCCTATTTTTAGAATTTATTTTATTCTGTGCTCTGGTGGTTTTACTATATTTTTATCTGGTGTTTTACCATTTCTACTGCTACATCATATTTATAGTTTCCATCCATATGGTGGTGAGAAAATTTAATTCTCTTTAGTTTCTTATTGTGCAGTTACACAGTGTGTGCTTATGTGTCTATAATATTCATAGGTGTACAGTATCCTAAGCTTTTTAATGAAATAATTTAACTAGCTAGTAAAATAAGTATCAGTTGTAGAGTACAAGTGAAATAGTATATATTAGCAAAGGAAAGATATGAATAACTTACAGATTTAAGAATGCTGACCGTATGCTCCAATTTTTTAATAGTATTTTGTTGGCATTTAATCTGAGACTAGAAAGAAAAAAACATTTAAGTAGTTACATGAAAATGGGCTATGGTCAAATAACAGATACATAGCAATGGTAGAAATAATGGGCCCACTTCCCTCAACCCTGCAGAAATCACATATTTACATATCTCTTATTGGAGAGTAGGCACTCCATATAAAACTATATATACATTTCTTAAATCATGGGTACAGTAATCTTACAGTGTAACTAGAACATCCAATATGGGTAGTCCTTGGGTTATGATGGCAATTGGGATCAGGATTGCCACTGCTAAGCGATGCAGTTGTAAAGTATGAAGTCACATGACCACATCACTTAGCAACAGCAATCCCAGCAGTCCTGCATACCGTCGTAACCCAGGAAGAAGCAGGAGTCCCAGGCAAGGAGCATGTGGAGGGTGGGGGGTACTGTAGGCAGGCAGGCACTATGGAACATGGGCAGGTTGGTGGGGCCCATGGGTGGATCGGCGGAGGCTGTGGGAGGACTGGCAAGAGGTGTGGGCAAGCACTGGGGAGCGTGAGCTGGCTGGTGAGGTGCATGGGCAGGTTCTGGAGAATGCAGGCCAGTGGGACGTGCAAGCAGGGTACTATGGGCAGGTGGACACGGGCTACAGAGTGTGGGAAGATGGTGCTATGGCACACAAGATTCCTGGGATCTCATACTCCATAGCGGGCTCCTTGGGAGAAGATGTGGTGGAAGTGACTTACTGAAGCAAAACCTTCCCTGCTGGCTTCCCCATTGACTTGTAGGAAGCCAGCAAGGAAAGTTGCAAATGGAGATCACATGACATGGCTTGCTGCAATGTTGTAATTGCAAGGCAGACACCTGAGCACCCAGATTACGATCATGTGACTGTGGGGACGCTGCTATGGCCAGAACTATGAGGACCAGTCTTAAGTCCATTTTTTCAGCACTGCTGTAACTTTGAACAGTTGCTGAGCAAACGGATGTAAGCTGAAGATTACCCATAATGTCATGTTTACTCCATTTTTTCTTCTGATTTTCCATCTATTAAAACTAACAATGCAACATAGACTATAAATGCACTGCATGTATAAAACATTTCATGTAATAATTCAAGTACCTTGGCTTCTGAAAGTTCCTGGTCAGCACTATCAAGTACAAATTCTTTTTCTTTTTCCAGCTGTTCAGCTATCTTGTCTACATGAGCAAGTTCTTTACAAAGATATTCATTCTCACTGGTCAAATCATCCACTTGGGTTGTTACTTCCTCTTTACTATTAAGTAGTTTCGCAACATGCTTCTCCAAATCAAGATTTTTTGCTTTTAGATGTTCAATCTGGTAAGACAAACAAAACAAATGTTTATGTTTATCACAGCAATAAATTTGTAAATATATTGGATGAAGTAAGGCCTTGTACATGCCAGTATTTCCACTTTCCCATCTCTATAAAGCATTTTGAGTAATTATATTTACTCCTGCTGAAAACAAAACACTGAAAAAAGGCAAGGAAACCCATGAACAAATCAGTGTTCCCTCCAACCAATCAATCACAGAGTATAAAAAATATATAATTACTAGCTTACCCCGAGCTAGCAGCAGGTTTTGCAGTTAACAAAAATCTCCTTAGCCCCTCCAAATACAAAGATGAAAAAATAATGTCTCACTATTTTGCAATGCTCCCTGGCCATCAACATATGATTCTTTCTGCATGTAAATTCTCAATTAAAGCTACACTAATGGTATTATACTGTAGTTTTGCAACCCACTGCTTTTTGCAGGAACTACCCCCATCACTGTAGATTGTAATTTCTATTCGTGCTTGGGAAGGTGGGGAAGAAGAGAGTAAGAACTCACTTAAACCCAGAGACTAGGAGATGGTGAAGTAAGAGTTCAATGCATAATGTATACATAGACTAGAAAATCAATTCAGACAATTTTCTACTCATGGTTATGAAATGGCTTAGATTAAATTAGGTTCCCCAATTTTGTTCCCTGTGAAATTTACTAAAAGAGCTCTAAGTTCAGGAAGTGGGAGGTGGGATGAGACAAGTTGAATAGAAAAACACCCCATTTCCAAACCCATACAGCACTAGTAACATAAATAGCTATGTTTTTGCAGTTTGAGCTAGACTATAGCTGAGCCTGAAAGAGTTCCACTGTCAAAGAAAGGCAATGTTGTGGGAAAAGCTTCACAATAATGATTTATGGGACAGCACAAATACCACATATGGTGGGGCCATAAATGAAAAAGGAGTCCTCAGAATTGGGCTATGATCAGGATTAAATTTACTGACGTTAAAAAAAACAGCAATGTATTGTATTTAAGTTAATGGGTAAATTAAATGAAATGCTCAATGATAAATTTTAAGGAATGCAGTTTATTTGCATTTGTATTAACAGAACTCAAAACTTAGATCTAAACTATCTATCTCCATAGCTTGTTCTTCACTTTGTTATGAAAGGGATAGATGAGATTATTTATAATATGAATATAATTCACGTATGTCCAGTGATAAAATGGTTTTAATACTCTAGATCTAAGGCACAATATATTTCTGATGACTTTTTCTATGACTCTTGGCACATTCTGAACCTTTTTTGGATACCTCAGAGGTCTCAGTTATAGACAGTTTTTATTCTATGGTAATGTGGGCCATCTGTCATGTATGAAGCAGTAAAGTCAAACAGACTAAAAGACAGAAGCAGCAGAACTAGGTTTAGTGCTAAGACTTGAAGAATTCCTTTAAATTATAAATTCTTACCAACATTATACAGTAAACTGTTTGGAAAACCTATTTGGGAGAGATAATGGGAATTGTAGTTCAAGCTACATTTGATCTGTATGTAAAAAAACAGGGTCACCATTGAATTAACACAAAATTTATTTTATTTATTGATCATATTTATATAGCTGCCCATCTCACAAAAGAGTGACTCTGGGTGGTATACAACACAAAGGAACAAGGAAATTTTATGCTGCATGATAAACAGGGAGAAGTGAAATTCTTCTACCAAATCTTCTCCCATAAAACCATTTTACTTTATCTTATTTTTCTCCAAGGACTTCAAAACTGTATTTTACTGTCATCAAGTTTGGTTGTGCTATGAGATGCATGGAAACTGTAATTATAAATGTGGAGTCTGAATGAGAATATAGCTTTTAAATTCTGTCCTAATAAATCTGTATCAAATTTAGTGTCTTCATTCCAGAATTAAATCAGTTGAATGTATATTGCCGCTCAGATGACATGTTAAACTATCTAGTAACTTCAGGATACTTGAAAATTATTTATGGCTGTCCAGTGGTGGGATCATATTAGGAGAATTCTGTACTACTAATAGTGTTAGCCTTAGGAACATTCACAACACAATGAACGCTATATCATCTAATAATAATATCAATTCCTGTTGTGGCTATTATTCTAGCCTTTATGCATATAGGCAATCTTGTGATCAATAACTTATATCAAGTTTGACACTTACTTTCTTAGTGGCAAGCACAATCTTTATCTGTTTCTAAATAAACCATCAACCTTGTTTTGCCATGAGGACTGAATTCAGACCGACAAGAGCTAAGTAGTCTTGATACATCTAGGTGGTTAGCCTCTCTCCATATCATCCATAAGCAAGTGAGCTTACTCTTCTGGAGACACATAGTAGGAGGGCCATTAGTATAAGAGGTACGAAGTCATAATGATAAAATGTCATCACTGATCCTAGGCCATGATCTTGTCCCTTCATCTCTATGGAGAACACAAAACCATTTTCTCACATCTGACTAACTAAATGATGTCATTGGAAGTTTATTCCACACATCTGGTTGTTACAAAATAGCAGAAACATATGACAACACCTCTAAGTGCAATTTCTGGATTATTTTGTCTTTGCTTCTAAAGCTGTCTTCTGATTTTGAAGTTCTGTCACTTTCAGTAAATGGACCTCTTAATGCAAGCTCTTCTCTTGTTGTCACCCTCTGTGAAAACAATAAAAAAATAACTTCAGTCTAAATTTGTATATTTATTCCTATATTTAGCTGAAAAATATGAGCTGTGTGATACTGCCAGATGAAAATATTTTTAGCCTAATTTTTATGCAAGTTCAATTGACAGGGTTCAGTAGGGACTACATGATAATTAAATGGATTCAGAGATTCTTGGAAAAACCATGCTTAAGTACTATTTATCCTGTATCATATTGAAGGGAGGCTTCAAATAGGTGCAGGTCTGTCAACATTTTTACCAGTAATTCAATAACAGTGATTAGTTTTTCTCAACCTGATTTTGTCTAAGATAGTGGTGAATTACAGAACTGTAGGAATGTAGTTCAACATACCTGGAAGAAACAATATTGCAGAAGAGTGACATAGTTCAGGAATACCTTACATTTTAAGTTTGGGGACACATGTGGAATCCTGAGAAAATGTTACGGGTTCAAGTCAGAAAGTATTATGTAAATGAGGCAAGTTACAAAATAATCAGAAGTTAGATCAAAACATGGTTCACAAAATATAGAATACTGTAGTAAAAAGTTAATTCTCTTAACATGCATGTCTCAGTTCCACTCTCCTGTTTCCACAACTCATTTTGCCTTAAACTATCTGAAGAAAATAACAAGCAGGATGTTAATGTGAATTCTGTAAATTCTGTTAAGAGATTACTAGAAATCAATGGTCAAAAAAAGCCCTAAACAAGAGCCCCATTTAATGAATACATAATTTAAAGATTTTAACATGGGCAGACTGAATTCTAAAATCACAGACACAATGCTTGCATATTCTATAATGATACAAAAATAAGAAATTAAAGCACAGATCTTTTTTTTTCTGCATGGGGCTGTCCTGAAATCACATTTACTACAAATGATATAGGTGGACACAAAATTCACCCCATGATACAAAAATAAGAAATTAAAGCACAGATCTTTTTTTTTCTGCATGGGGCTGTCCTGAAATCACATTTACTACAAATGATATAGGTGGACACAAAATTCACCCCATGATACAAAAATAAGAAATTAAAGCACAGATCTTTTTTTTTCTGCATGGGGCTGTCCTGAAATCACATTTACTACAAATGATATAGGTGGACACAAAATTCACCCCTCCTTGTAAAAATTATTTTAATCTAAGTCTTTTTTAAAATCTAACTTTTAAAAATCTAAGACTTTTTAATATAATTTTTTAAAATCTAAGACTTTAGGTCTTTTATAGTTTAAGACTTTTTCTATGAATTTGTATAATATCTAATTATTTATATGTTTTAAATCAAACCAATATAAGCTTCAAAAATTTCCCTAATTTCCCATCCCATCTAGCTTCTGCTTTCCTCTACCTCGTTTCACTTCTGCTGGTATTTTACTGAAATGAAATGGAAAAGATGGAGAAGAGTCTTATCAAATTTAAAGATATAACACATATATCTTTATATGTGTATATAACACATATACAAATCACTTCTATTGATAGGAGCAGCCAAGTGGAATTAAAAAAGCAACATGCATCCAAAGTTATTCAGAGTGGGCTTAGCATGAATGCAAATATTGTTATGCAAATTTATTTGAAAATAAATCCTATTGATTAGAATGGTATTTGTTCCAATACATGCACTTAGCATTGCACTGTACAACAGGAAGATTATTCTGTGATACTTCTTTAAAACTGATCAACTAATGGAAATTATTAGATTTGAATTAAAAACTTAAGTAATATAAAAATTAAAGTGCAAAATATTCATTATCAATAACGAATAGCAGATTTTAAGTTTAAAAAGAGAAATATGTCAAATGCAATCTAAACCTTTCTATGCTTATTTAAAATTAATTTCCCTGAAATTCAGTTCCCAAACAGCAGAACAATCCAGTCAACTGCTAAAGACTAAGCTACTTGAAGTTTTGGCTATGCTGCTCCATTAGCCGAACAATTCTGTCCCACAGCCTCCCCCACTTTCCAATATGCCAAATGAAACCAAGATAATTATGGAAGTACCACAGGGATAGCTGCCCCAATGGGTTGGGGAGGGGTGAGATACATGGGAAACTAAAAGCTTATTTTCCCTTAATCTGCCCAACGATCATGTCCCAGAACTATGTACTGGTATTTTCCCTTTCATTGGTCTCAACAGGAATATTTTTTAAGCAACTATAATAACTGAAATGAAATACACAAGGAAATGAAATTTCCTGCTCCTATCACGGATAAAACATTCCTTCAGTTAAGAAGTATTTTAAAATCTATCTGTTGATCAAGAACCTCAAGTATCAAATTCTCAGCAAGACAGAATCGAGTATTTATACCATAAATATCCAAACAGATATGAAAGACCCCCTTATTAAAATGTATTGTGTCCCAACCTCATGAACTCCTTTGATATTAGCATATCCTTAGAACTTTTAAAAATTACAATAAATACAAACAACTACACCAACCTCAACAACTAAAGTACAGTACGGATTATACATGCTTAGAAATGAAACCACACAGCAAGCAGCTCTTCCACAGATTTCTGTGGGAAAACATAATAATTTGATAATCAATGACTTGGAAAAGCCAAGCTAAAATTAGTCATTTTTGTTAAGTAAAAACATGAAAAGTATATTATATTCATTTGCACGTACTCCTGTCAGCCCTACAAGGCAGACCAGACCAGACCAGACTAAGAAACCAATGCCATACAGGTCAGGGCTTTCATTGTCACAGCTATAGTAACAGTCTATAGCATGTCTGAATGTGCTTTCCCTCTCCCTCACTTTATTTTCGTGTGACTGAGGGCGGAGCTTGCCTGAGACATTTTCTCAAGTTCTTTTCTTGGCCTGTGCTCAAGGCCCCTTTATCTGACTACTGTCTTGGTAGCAGGTCTTCCTCCTGTCCTTCATGGTAATTCCATATGCCCTGTACAGCTCCCTACATTAGAAGTGGGGAAAATGTGGCCCTCCAAATGTTTCACATCCAACATTAAAAGGATGTTTCTCAAAGCCCAGAGGGATTATTCCATGCCTGCTTTTTGACAGGCACAGTGCAGGGTAAGACTCACCATGGCAATGGAGTTTGTTTTGCTTGAGAATTTAACTCCTTAGGAGGACTCTCAGAAGGAAATATTAACCAAGGAACATATTCTTAAATGATGAATCTGACAGTGATCCAAGTGGGCTGCTGTGTATTCTACCTTTGTTGTTGGTTGTGTTGTTAGCTGCTGAGTCACTATGGTGAGATGGGTGGCCATATATATCGAACTAACTAATAAAAAGCTGATATATTTCCCACATATTATGCCAGGGATATTTTTTTAAAAAAAGGTTTATCCCTTCTGAATTAATTGCTGTGTTTTAAGAGTGCACATGTTCTTGGCTATATCACCAGGATTTGGACTCTATCATGGATTTATCAAACACAGAAGCAGGTAGAAGAACGGTCACACAGCATTGGAAGGAGAAATCTATACCTGAACTGGAGCAATGGATTTAATGAATAAGACATTCAGGTAATATGGTCAAAATTGGGGGAGTTGTTCTGTTTGCAACATGAATTTTCAGCCTTTCCCCCCCTTTTTTTCAAAAAAATAGTATTATTTTTATTAACTGAGTTATGTTACATTTGTACTGCTGTGTATGTATCCATACATTTTCTTCTGAGGACTAGCTGACACATACATAAACTTTTAAAGACAATAAACCTTGTTTATTTGTGCTTTCCACTTGGGGGGCTAGCAGAAATTGGGGACAATGATCCCACCTCTCCTCAACCTTCATAAAATTATCGGGACCCCCATTTCAGAAGACCTGCGGGGTCACAGGTCCTCACCCTGTGCAATTAACCCGAAAGCTCCTCATTAGTACCTCTGCCAGTAGGGTGCCTCCTTATCCTTAATCCCTATGGACTCTTTGTACCTTTGCGTGAAATTCTGTTTTTTTCCTCCTGCGCCCAGGGTTTTTCCTAGAGGTCATGACGGCAGCTAAATTGTGAGCGCCAGAAAGTGTACTGCCTGCCTTTTCTCTTTCTCCTTCCTTCTCTCCTTCCCGGATTCCTCAGCTTGCTTCTCAGCTTTACCCGCAACCTCGCCTCCTTTTCCCTCTCAAGCCAGACAGGCCAATGAGCAACCAGGCTAGCAGCGGGGCGATCCTCCGCGCCCACCCGCCTCCGTCACTGCTGAGCAGGCGCGGCCGGCTGGGAGTCCACCGGGAAAGGCAGGGAGTCCTTCCTCCCCCCGAGCCAGCCAGCCAGCCAGCCAGGCAGGCAGGCACTAGCGGCCTTGGCCCCGACGGCCCCGCTCGCCCGTCGCCGTCGGTCTCCTCGGGACGCCGCCCGCTTCCCCGGGGGCGCTGCCCCCTACCGGCTTGCCACAATACTGTCTCCTCTCGGCTCCTCGGCGTCTCCTGGTAACCCCCCTCCCCTTGGGCTTTCGATACCTGTTACACTCAGCCGGCCTAGTGATGCTCCGCTTTTGACCCCACCCCGCCCCTTCATGGGCGCACGCGCGGCGCGCTCTCGCCGCTTCAACCGCCGCTCGTGCTTCAAACGCCTCTCGGGGATGTCGGGAACGCGCGGCCGGTCCGAGCGGGCGATTCCCAAAATTCCATTGAGCGCCCAGGCGGACGCGCATTCCGTGGTCGGCTGTTAGGGGCCTTGGATCTGTGGAAGGGTTTTGCGGCGGGGATTATTTTATTATTATCATTATTGCTGTTGTTGTTGTTACGAAGTTATTAAGGATCGTAATGATCATTGAGGATATACTAGGGAAAGAAGAGAAAACTAGGAAGGGACTAGTGGGAATGACTAGAATGGCTGGAGGCTTCCAAATTTTGTTCCAGTTTCTGCTTGTGCCTACTGCACACTCTCCCTGTGTAACTTCATGCGCACCACCCATAAAACATTATCATCATAATCATCGTCCCACTTTTTCACCTATCTTATCTATCTCAAGGTGGTGAACATACCTAATACTCCCTCCATTTTCCGCACAACAACAACCCTATGAGGTGGGTTGGGCTGAGAGAGAGGGAGAGTCCCAAAGAACAGTTTGTAGCAGTACAAAAAGGGGTAAGGGGTAAAAATATACATGCCTGTCTAAAAAGCAAAGGGCACTGAAATGAAAGTAAATGTCCTACAGAAAGGAATGACTTGCTAATACTGAGCAATTGCACCTCACATTGCAACATTTGGGAATGTTGTAAATAATGACATTTACTTCCATTTGGTAAAGGAAATGGAGTGCTTCTTTGAACTTCTTAGAGGGCTCTCCATAGCAGTTGGTTGAAGGGAGGTACAGAAGGAAACTAGGCCCTGTAGATTTCAGCAGAGGGAATTTGTAACCAGGAGATTGCTTGGCAAACCACCAGCCAACACAAAGGTTCTCATCTGTGTAGAAGACCTTCAAGCTTGTTGGGGACTGTGACACCAGCGCCAATCTCTTCAGAAATAAGTGGAGAGAAAAGAGGGGGAGCATATGCAAGCAGTTCCAGAGTCACACCAGGATGCTTATCTCAGGTCCGTAATGAGCACTATTTTTTAAGAATACTTACATGTGGAAAGGGGGGAAAAAGCTATTAGGTGCCATTTATCTAACAAGAGTTTGGTTTTTGACTATAGTTACAGAATGAACCTTCACAGTAATTTGAAATAATATTGTATATCCATTTGGTAATCATGTTTCCAATCATGTCTTGACAGCAATTTCATTGCCTCAAATATGGGATATGGGGCAGGGGGGGTGTCAACCACTAATTTCCTACTTGTAACTTTTGCATCTTTCCCTATCATATTTTTCACCTTTTTTTCTTGTCATAGGAAATCCATTCAGGTAATGCCTTTTGATGGATAACAATGTGCCTCGACAAAAACACCCAGGTTCCTTTAAGATTTATTCTATATTAAAATGTTATACATTAAATTTATATTAAAGATTAATTTTTTATGATAAAAGTAATACTTCTGTAATTATATGAAACTATACATTGTTTTGTACATTAAAATTCAGTGGTTGGAATCTTTTGAACAGCTTGATATGTGCACTGATCAACATTTAGCATCATCTGTTTGTGTATACTGAGATTATCAAAGGTCTTTTTCCATCCTTAAATCAGGCCATTGTTTCTGAGCTGAATTATACACGTACAATATGTTTGTACATAAAAGGCACTAACATACTTGCCATAATGTGTGCAAAATTCTGTTTTTCTATGTTCTCCAAGCATAGACAACCAAAGGTGAAATTAGCCAGTTTAGAATGTGGATAATGTATTAATTTACAGTTATTCTGAAGCAGAGCTTTCCAATTTCTTTGTGGCTATGCCAGGGAAGATAGCTATACAAATCCAAGGCTTGCTCTGATAATGGTAAACCATATTTGGCTTACTAGGAGAGGAACATTTTCCAATTCACAAATCTCAGTAAAGAAGGCTGAGAAAGAATTTCTACTATTGGTGTAATTATGCCTGCTGGAAAGAGGAATTTATGTACCATACAGTAAATTCATGAACGTACCCAGAAAATAAATTATGCTTGGTGCTCCTTTCAGCAGAATTAGTGCATGTTTATTTTAGAAGAATAGAGACTTTTATTAATGTTTCATTTTTTCCTATCACCAAAAATATTAATTAGAATGAAATAGGTTGGCATTCCTTTAGTTATTCTGATATATACATATTTTTTTCTATATAGTGTTTATACAACAGCCTTACTGAAGAACATCCTCACTGACTTTGTATTTCAGGATAATTTGAGATAGTTTTAACTCTTTCAGAGTTATTACATAATGGGCAAGTGTTGCAGTAAAACTAACACTCCGGTATCTGTAATACAGAATGATGCAAGTATTGGAACTTCAAATGCAAATGAACATTTATTTCAACACACAGAGGAAATCAAGCTAGGACCTGTAACTGGCTTTTTCCAAATTACAGGGAAAAAGATACCAGATGGGATGCAAAATAATGCAAGCATTAATTCAGAAGATTGTGCTAACAATGTTATGGGCTCTCAGACCATAGTTAAAGAAAATGATGGCTTGGTAGTAACTGATGTTCACTAATATTTATTAAAATGGTTCTGCTAAAACATATGAACTGCATAATAATCTAACTGTAAATTAGAAAAAACAAAATAAAGTTTAAGAGCCAATTCAAATGTAGCAATTCACTAGTTTCAATACTCATTCTATGTTTATGTTGTTAAATCTTTATATTTTACCACTTATATATGAATTATGAATATTTTGGAAATAATGCCTTCCATTTGAAAAGAAAAATGCCTTCTTCCATATGGGACAGTATTTCTTCACGATGTTGCTTGGACATATTCCGTTTTGTAATATGTCATAAACACTAGAAATAACTCTGAATGAATATACATTAATTTTTTATAAAATAAACTTGAAGTTCTTTTCTCATTTTTATGTCTTTTTTTTAAAGTAGTAGATTTCATGTAGAAGATCAATGTATGGATAGTAATGATTGGAAATAGTAATGTTTGTTTTCAGACCAGTTCAAAGTTGGTATCTACTACTTATGAGAAAATTAGTATACAATATGATCACATGCATGCTTTTTCTGTATTCAAAGGGATTTAGAACTATGCACAAGACTGCAGTCTTATTGCACAATATTATGCATTCTTACTCAAAATTAAGTCATAGTAAGTAATTGATAAATGGTGTGTGTTTTTATTACATTCACAATGTGAGGATGATTCTAGAGCTATCCATTATTTTGCAGAATGTACCACAAACAGCTGTAATTTAATAATATGATTTCTTCTATTGGTGTCTCCTCTACAGCTGGTATCCCTTGAAGCTGGGTGGGTGGGGGGAGAAGAAAAGTTGGTAGGAATTGCAGAACTCAGATCAGACCTTGGATTTTTGTTTTTCCATATTCAGTTTCTTTGGTATACCTATCATGTGCTCATCATTATGTTGCAAGTGTTACTGCACCATAATTGCAGACTCCTTAAAATAAGACATGCATTTGACACAAATCAGTCTAAACTTTACTACTTTTAAGTGCAGGTGATCAAATTTAGTGGGTATTTATTAGGGCTCCAACCCGACTTAGGTGCCATCAACTTGCTTCCAACTCCTAATGACTGTATGATACTTTTAGTATATCCAAATTCATAACTGAAAGTTGTCCCATCTTTTATTCACTCTTTCCCAATGTCCAGTTTTCACAATATCTCTCAGAAAATAATTGCTTTCACATTTCTGATCTCCCTTCTCTTCTATCATCTTTTCTAAGTTTGAAATTGCTTATTTACCTGAATTAATTTCTTTATTTTTTCAACACTTTCCATCCATCTGGTCTGTCGCACTTACCACTGTGGAATACATAATACACAAAAATACATTTTTGGGTGAAGAAAGCAAAATAATCAAGGCTTCACTGCAGTGTTTATTAGACAGTACCTACTGGAGGGGGACCCCACCAAGGGATAGTGCAGACAAAAGAGATGTTCTGATATTTATACATTTCAGGAAAGGGAAAGAGAAAAGCCTGCATCATACATATTCATATGATGATGCAGGCATACATAAGTAATAAATCTCAAGTTACTTTCTCCACCTCTGTTATCTACTATCTACAAGGAAAAGAAGAAACAAATCAGTTAAAGGTGCCAAATGCCAGGAAGAACACATCCTCCTTCAAGACAAATGCCTTGGTAGTTCACAGCAGCTCCAAGGGTGCTGCACATTTTTTTGTTTCAATTTTATTACGGCGCTCCTATTCATCTGAAGCCTCTAGAAATTTGCTTTCTTCACCCAAAAATGTATTTTCCCCACACCATCTTTTATCTTTTATTGATTTTACTGTCATTTCTTGATTGTTGTGAGCTGCCCTGATTTGTTGGGAGTCAAGCAGCATACAAGTTTAATTGTATTGTTGCTCTTGTTGTAATTATTATTTCTGAGTCCAAGAAAGCTAAGCATTTTGATTGCCATTACCTTTGTCTTAATATTTTACATTAATCCAGATTTTCACTTTCCATGTTACTTTGCTAATGAGCAATTCTGTCTTCCTTTATTTTTAACTATCAAAGTGGTGTCATTGCATATCTGCTAACAAAGTAGAATATCTCAATTATTTTTGTATTTATTTAGTACATTTATATCCTACTGCAATCCAAATACCGAGATTTACAATTAAAAAGTTCATATTAAAAATTTTAAATGTAAAAATAAAACATAATAGAAAAACATTTTGATTCCAGCTCTCATCTGTTCCAGTCCTTCCATACTTATATTCACTGGCTATATTAAGCATATGCATCCTTACCTCACTCCCTTTCTATTCTAAACCATTCTGTTTATTCAAACTCAGTTCTTTTAATAGTTCTTTGTTCACTGTCAAGGTTCCCCAGAATGATCAGGTATTCTGGACACCCTTTAGCTTTAACATGTTCCACATCATGGCATCTAGACAATACAAGAAAAGTAAACTTCAGAATATCTTGATGTCTCCATTATCCATCTTATGTTACCTAATTGACCTCATGTATCTCTGCCTTTTCTGAAATTTACTGTTCATTTAGCATTTCTGTTTCCCTTGGTATATTCATTACAAGATTGTGAGCAAAACTTTGCTTGCATGAGGAATTAATATTCTCCTGCACCTCCCTTTGTTATTACAGATATACAGTATTGACCAATTAGGATGTAATGACAGCCAGTCTTAAGCATTTCCAAATCCCGTTGATGACAATGGGACTGTAAGGAATTTTACCAGTGAGCATGGACAATGGAGCTTAGTTCAAAATACAGTATTTAGCCACACAGTAAAACATATGTATACATATTTAACAGAGTAAATCCTGCTACACATGGTTGTATTTACTTATGGACAGTATCATTTTATAAGATTAAAATAAGAATTTACTTTTAAACTTTTAATGTATAAGTTTTAAAACCTTTTTTTTTTTTTTTGGCAATCTGTGTTGCAATCAACTTAAAAACAGAAAATAAGTTTCTGCCATTGCAGCAGCACTTCGAACTACCGGAGGATAACAATACGTGCAGAACTATCCAGCCATTCTCCTGTGCCCGTTAAGGAGAGACTTGCTTTTAAACACCTTACAAAGAGAACTGGAGAGAGAGAGAAGATGCCCGGCTACTGCTGACGCCCCTCCGTGGACCAGTAATCGGCAATGAGCGGAAGCTGACAGCACGAAAGGAAATTGTGCGTCTCCCTAATTTTGTCCCCAAGCGGAAGTGCCCGGATAAAAGAGCAACTCCAAGCAATGTTGTGCGGACACGGAAGTCTTTTGGAAAGCACACTGTCTGAGAAAAATACAAGGAAGAGTAACACTACCCGTTAACTTTCGAGTTCCTTTTAACCCCGGAACTGTGGGTCACCCAAAGAAAAGACAGAAATCTGCTTTCATTGTAGCTTTGCAAAGCAATGTGTTGCCCGTCAATCTACCCCCCTTTCAGTTTGCAAAGTAGGAATAATTGCATAACTTCCTCCGTTTTTTATTCGAGACTGGTCTTTTCTTTAAAAAGTTGTTTCGAACTTAAAAAACAAACTTCATCGTGGCGTGTACAGATCTGCCTGTTTTATCTTTAAATAGTTTTCTTTAAGATGGGCAATAAAAAAAATCAACATAGACTTTTCCTCCGAAAGAAATAATTATAATTGCTTTCCCTCTCTCTGCTTTCACTTTGTTTGCCATAAGCGAAACATACTAATTAAAAAAAAATAGCCATCGTTTCGAGGGAATTCATATAAAAGTTTATTTTTTAATGCAGTCTATTTCGAAATACGTCCTTTGAGCTATAAGGATTTATTCCTGGGTAATGTAAACCATTACAATTTTAAATATTTAAAATAAGGCCCGTATCGGTGACTCTACTCTCTGCAGCAATCCTTTCTCAGGGTTCGTTCTCACTTTCTCCAAACAAGTACTGTATGGGGAGAGAGTCTTAAGCAATCGGGATGTTGCGAGTTCCAACAATGGGATGAGCGGCTCTCTACATTCTTGCCTCTATGTAAAAATGCGCGTGTCAACCTCTGTTTCTGGCTGCAGCCCGCCTTCTTGGCTCCCCGGGTCTCGCGCGCGGTTCCGGCGTGGGCCGAAAGTTGTTGCGTTGCAATAGGTTGAAGACCCGCCGAGAGAAGCTGGTAAATGTGTTGCTTGCTCTTCTCTCCTAAACACAGTCTGGCGAACTTTGCAGCGAGGCAAGCGTGCCCTTGATAGGTTCATAGGCGCAGCCCTCTTTTCTCCGGTGCCTAAACTGCGCTCTGTCTTGCCCTGATGCTGCAATCCTGTACACGTGAAAAAGGCGCGTTTGCATCAGTGTATAAGATTGCACGGTCCAGAGTTTTCAGCTGAATACTGTTGCAATCAACTTATGCCCGCCTTTCACCTACTCTGAAGCAGCCTTCCCCCGTAGGTATCCACCAGACGTATTTGTACTACGGCGCCCATCATCTTTGCTGAACCTTTTCATAACGATTATGGGACTTTTTTTAAAATTCGGAATGTAGCAGGGAAACAACATTTACCACTGGTCTTCCCCTCAAGAATTCATTTGGTTGCAGCATATCTGGACCTTGTCCTCATGACCTATCCGTAACTGCAGAGCACATGCTATAAATCTGTCCTGGGGTGTTTCTGTGTATGTCCTTGCTAGCACCTTTAAAGGTTTGGCAAACATGATTATCCCCAGGTTTGAGCTGAGGAACCATAACTGTCAGGAAATAGACTCGGCTTGCTTTATCATCCCCAAAGCAGCTGCATTAGTAACTTTAAAAGTGCGAAGATGTATGTATCAATGGGAATATCAAAAGTCTTCCCATGGCTGCTAAACCATTTGGGCCGCGGCCTGAGAGCTCCTGCTAGGCTTTTAGGTAGCCTAAACAGGGAACAGAACTAAGGGATCCTAGAAAAGAAAAATGGGTGTAGAACTGTTGGAGTATCTTTCTAGTGCAGTGTTTCTCAACCTTAGCAACTTTTATTCCAGTTTCTGCTTGTGAAATTCAAAAGTGAGCTTTTCTATAGTGTTTCAATTATGTTTACCTGTTATGCCATTTACTGTTTTACTTTCTCTTTTTTAAATTTTTGTTAATATTTTAATATTTTAATCCTACAGAGGATGTGGGGACTGGGTTTGTATGTGTACTGCTGAGAGCTGTGGCAGACATAACTTCATTTTTTTTTCTGATAGGTTATCAGCAAAGATGTTGAATAAGAATATCTGCATGTTATTCACTGACTAGAGGTTCCATCTACCTACCAAAAAGGAGCAATATTTTATTAAAATAATCTAAGACTGCTTTCAGTGCTTTTGAAAAGAAAAAAAAACACAACACTGACACAATGGTTTGAAAGATTCTGAATAGTGCCAAAACTTTCATCGCCTTTGATACTTGATTATTTTGTTTCCTCATAACATGATAATCCAGTTTTCACTGAAGAAATGCTTCCCATTATATTGTGTCCTCAAGGCTCCAGCTGCTGGCTTCAAAACTGCAAAGGAAGGAGGGCTGATCCTACAGTCTGCGTCTCAGGACGTTTACCAGAATTTAGCATTAGAAGACTGGATCCATGATAACATGGATTTAGAGAACAGACATGTTCTTTTCCTGTGGAGAAATTCTTCTACTGTAGTGATTGGTCGGCATCAGAATCCCTGGCAGGAGTGCAATCTTAGAGTCATGAGGCAGAAGGGTGTAAAGCTTGCGCGAAGAAGAAGTGGAGGAGGTGCAGTTTACCATGACCCAGGCAACATTAATCTGACCTTCTTCACCAGCAGAAAAAAATTTGAAAGAATTGAAAATTTAAAACTGGTTGTTAAAGCTTTAAAGACCCTGCGCCCCCAACTAGATGTTCAGGCTACTGAGAGATATGATCTCTTGTTAAACAAAACCTTTAAAATTTCAGGAACTGCTGCGAAATTAGGAAGAACAACTGCTTATCACCATTGCACCTTGCTGTGCAGTGCTGATAAATTTGTTCTAACATCTGTGTTAAAGAGTCCTTACAATGGGATCAAAAGTAATGCCACACCAAGTGTGCCTGCCTTAGTGAAAAATCTTTTTGAAGAAGATCCTACATTAACTTGTGAAATGCTTATGGATGCCATTGCTGGCGAATATGCTTCACATCATCACACTGCTAACCATATCCACGTAATAAATCCAGCCGATGAAACAGAATTCCCTGGAATTAATAATAAAGCCAGAGAACTAAAAGCCTGGAACTGGCTATATGGAAAAACACCGAAGTTCAATATCAGCACATCCTTTAATATAGAACATGATCAATCCCGAGCTGAAATTCAGATAAGTATGGATGTAAAGAATGGCAACATTGAAACTTGCCAAATAGATGTGCCTCGGAACTGGCTACCCCTGGATATGCATGATGAACTTAGGAACAGCCTCATTGGCAACAGGTTTTGCCCAAATGAAACTACTGCAGTGGCAACTGCTTTGCTGAGAACTTGTGCAGATTCTAAATTACACAGCAAATGGCATATCTTATGTGAGAAGATTGTAACATTAATGTAAATTATGTGATGAGCTTGATTCTTGAATTTCACCAGTTTGCTAATACAAGCTTGTTATATATGATTTTATAAGAGTTCAGTGAACGTACAGTAAACAGATTTAATGTTGATGTAATAACTATTTAACAAAAATAAAACTTGAATATAAATGTTTTCTTAAAAGAGGAGGTAGTTAATTGATACTGCACCCCTTACATGTCTTCTCAAAGGTGAACGCCATTGAATTTAATGGAACTTGGAAGTAACTTAGTGTAGAGTTGCAGCCAAGAATGCGATAATAATACACTGTTGGGTGGGCAAAAATGTGGATGCAAAACTACAACTAAAAGCCACTTTTGAATTCAATATATTACCAGTCCAAACCCCTAAACTATGCCACACTGGAACTGCCATTGAAACATTACTCCTGTTGTAATCAACAAAATTTAAAAGATGATTTGTTCTGCCAATTAGAAAATCTCCCTGTCTTGAGCTGGGTAGCACTAGTTAGCAACCTTGTGAAAGCTTTTTTGGCTTGTTTTGCTTTAAATTACTTTCTACCAGTTCTTACTTCACCATTCTAGTAAGAAGATCTGTATCAGTGTGCAATGTACATTTTTTTTACAAGCCTTTATTTCTTTTTTATTCCAAAACTTATATTCTTCTGATTAATACAAATTTATTGGTATAAATTAAAAATAAATTAAAAGAGGTTCAGGTTATAACTATAATCATTTGTTGTTCAGTCGTTAAGTCGTGTCCAACTCTTCATGACCCCATGAACCATATTGCGCCAGGCCTTCCTGTCCTTCACTGCCTCCCTGAGTTTGCTCAGTTTCATGCTCAAACTATAATCATACAATATTATAAAAAACATATACCCAGTAACATTCAAAAGGACAAGATTTCAATAAATGCAATTTGTTTAC